CATTCAATTCGGAGCTATGAGCAGGAAGATACAGTCTCCGGAATGGACACATGTCTAGACGCCTCTCTCTGATCGTGTAAATGCATTACAAAGATGTGCCCTCCAGGAAGCCTTCCACTTCCCAAGCACCGAAGCTTCCTTCATGAAAGTTGGGATACATGAGTCCTCGGTCTTCTGAAACCGGAATCACTCAATTCGGACAAGATTCGTGGAAGTTACACTCTCCGGAATACGAAGTGGTCCAAGCTGCTCTGAATGCTGCGAGATGGTCTTGCGGCTTGCTTAACCCGCAGGCCTGAAGATGAATGCCTGAAAGCTGATGCTGCGAGTTGAGAAGTTCGGGTAAGCTATCACTGGATGAGGTCTGAAGCTCCCGAGCAAGAGAAATGCTAAGTCCACAATCGTGCGACTTAGGCATGCGAGTTGGCCGCGCCTGGAACCAAGCCGCACGATCACTCGCAATTTACTCCGACTTGAGCCTGCGACCTGAATGCAATGGAGACCAACCCGCAGAGTTTGTACACTCCCCAGAAACCACCTTGGGCCTGCGAGTTGAAGGAGAAGAGGATTAAGCCGCAGCAAGACTCGCAAATCATTCCTACATGGGCATGCGGCTAAGACAAGACGATCTAAGCCTCACAAGACAGGTTCTTCATCTACTGCGACTTGGGCGTGCTACCTGGGACATACTGGACTAACCCGCAGTAATTCCCACTTTATCCATTAAAGCCGGGTCAGGACCCGGTTTGTTCCGGGCTGACCCGGTTCGTTTTTAGAGAAGTATAAATACTTTTTAGGGTTTTTTTTTAGAGAACCAAGTTTTATTCCCTTTGTCTCTTGCCTCTTTTGTGAAAGACTCCATTAAGAAGAGAAATATCTATATTTGAGTGTTTAATCAAGAGAGTTTTAAGAGATCTGGGTGTTTAAAGCTGTTTTCTTTTGAATCTATCATCTCCATCTCTATTTCTCATCATTAATCATGCCAATCTTCTCTACTTGCAAAGGTTTAAGAGAGATTAGTATGATTAGTGAGTAGTCACCTTAATGAGGTTCTAGATGTGTAGGTTAGGGTGCTAAAGTGTTAGATTAGAAGTGCTTAGGGCTAGATTCATTGATTCATCTCTCTAAACAGCTGTTCTCTATGCTAGATCCTTGCATATCACTTGAGATCTAGATTCTGGGAATTTCATGCACCAAAAGTGTTTGATGAAATTCCTGAAAGAGCTGTATTAGAGGTTTAAGCATTTTCTGCATGATGATGTATTGTTAATTGCTTGAATGATCATTAAGAACTGTTTATTAATGCATATTGATTCATATTTCACAAATGGGAATTTTGTTTGAAAATGGATTAGTATAGGGGTTAATACCTTCATGAGAGGATTAACCTAGATTAGAGTTCTTAATCATTTGAATCATGTCTCATCATTGTCACTAGTATTTCTAGTTTAGCACCAAAGCACCCTAACCAACTATCATGTCTAGAATCTCAGGCCTCCATCATATCATATTCACATCATTTGTCATTGTCATTAGTCTTTAATCCTGTTGAAGTTTGTAGTTGTCATTAGTTAACCAAAATAACTCTTGTTTGCTTGAATTAAGAACATAATCACATAGTTTAGTGTCTAACACCACATCTGGATTGATAAACCTCTTTGTGCTACTTTGACAAGGGGATTAATAGCCCTGAGACCTTAAAAAGTCTTGTCTATCAATTGGCGCCGTTGCCAAATTGTGGTTTGTTTAGCATTAAGCTCTGATCTGTTCTTGAGATCAAGTGCTTACTTTCTTGTTTTTACTGATTACTTTCAAGTTCTGTTTGTGATTTCAGGTGTATGAACACCAGGTCTAGATCAAGAAGCTGTGGTCCACCTTTCCCTCTCAACGACAATATCAATCTTTTGGTACCAAGGAGGAGAAGGGACAGACGTGGTAGACAGATTGATCTGGCTGAGATGGCAGAACAAGGAGATCACGTGGTAGACATAGAACAACCAGTTCATGAGCAACAGGCTCAAGGAAATGGAGCTGGTAATGGAGTTGGTCAAGGGCTGAATCAGGGTAATGTTCATCAGGAACAGGTGCACCACCAACAAGCTTATGTCCACCAGGGACAAGCTCAAGCTCATCAACAGAGGCATCAGGCCAATGTTCAGCAAAGACAACAAGTGCACCACCAACCACAGCCCTTCCAACACCAACAAAGAAGATATGAGCAACCCCAAGTCTATGTTGGAGAGAATGACAGGGCCAATGCTCATCAGTATGGAGCTGGTATTCAGGCACCACCTGTGCAAAACAAAAACTTTGAAGTGAAGGCATCCTTGCTGAATATGGTCCAGAATTCAAAGTTCCATGGGTTAGCAATGGAAGATCCCTTGGAACACCTGGACCAGTTTGATAAGGTGTGTGATCTGACAAAGATAAATGGAGTTTCTGTGGACAGCTTCAAGCTAAGACTATTCCCATTCAGTCTTGGTGACAAAGCTCATCAATGGGAGAAGAATCTTCCAAGAGGCTCCATTCAAACTTGGGAGCAATGCAAGCATGCTTCTCTATCTAAGTTCTTCTCCACCTCAAGAATTGCAAAACTGAGGAACCAAATCTCTAGCTTCACTCAGCACAGCAATGAGAGTTTTGGTGAAGCATATGAGAGATTCAGGAGCTACACAAACCAATGCCCACACCATGGGTTTAGTGAGGCTTCTCTTCTCAGCACACTTTATTGAGGAGCTCTTCCCAAGATTAGAAACCAGCTGGATACTGCTTCCAATGGGAACTTTCTGGGTAAAGAAATACATGCTGCTTTAGAGCTAGTGGAGAACTTAGCATTGAGCACTGATACTTATGGTGAAGACTATGACAGATCAAATAGGTCTGAAGGTTCAAGCTCAGAACAGAGGCTCACCAGAGAAGTTAAGGAGTTGAGAAGTGAATTAGACAAGTTGAAGTTGGTAACTCACAAGCCAATGCATTTTGTTGGAGAGTATGAGGAACCATCTCAGATCTTTGAGAACATCAGTGAAGAGGGTCTTACCCAAGAGGAGCTTAACTACATTGGGAATCAGAGGTTCCAGAGATATCAGTATGGTAATGCCAATCCAAACCTCTCTTACAGGAACACCAATGTAGCTAACCCACAAGACCAGGTGTATCCAAATTCTCAAGCTCAACAGAACTTTGTTCCCAAGAACAACTTTCAAGGATCTTTTCAACCAAAGAATCAGTTTGGTCAGAATCAAGGTTTTGGTCAGCAACAGCAACCATTTCAGGGTCCTAGTTTCAGTACACAGCAGAAGAAGGCACCACCAGGGTTTGGTCCTCCACAGTTCCAACAGCAAGCGCCTGTTCAACAACAATATCAGCCACCAACGGTTCAACAACAGCCACAGATGGGTACAGATATGGTTGGTATCCTGCAAAAACTACTTCAGGGTCAACAGATCTTTGCAAGCCAGAATGCAGCTATGCAACAGGAAATCAAGGAACTGAAGCAAAACCAGGCATCAAGCTCAAGGAACCAAGGTCACCTACCTGGAAAACCATAACCCAACCCCAAGGAATATGCCAAGGCCATTACACTGAGGAGTGGAAAGGAGTTACCTGGTATTCAGAACAATAATGTGTTCATTGAGGACAATGATCAAACTGAGGGGGAGGCAGCCTTAAAGGATGATCAAGTTGCTGAGAAACCAAGGACATAAAAGGGTAAAGAGGTAGCAAAGGAACCAGAACCAGAGAAGAAATATGTGCCACCACCTCCATACCAACCCAAGCTCCCATTTCCAGGGAGATTCAAGAAGCAACTAGTGGACAAGGCAAGAGCTGTATTTGAGAAAGCACTCAATGAGACACCACTCACTATGCCTCTCATTGATGCATTCTTAATGATGCCAAAGATGGGGAAGTTCTTGAAGGATGCCATTCTGAACAAGACAAAAGAGCTTCAAGGCATGGTGGTACTAAGTCATGAATGTAGTGCTATCATTCAGAAGAAGTCCATTCCAAGGAAGTTAACTGATCCAGGGAGTTTCACACTCCCTTGTGCCATTGGACCTCTTCTATTCTCTGGATGTCTTTGTGATCTAGGAGCATCAGTCAGCTTGATGCCATTCTCCATAGCAAAGAAGCTGGGCTTTAGAGTCTTCAAGCCTGCAAGGATCTCTCTTATCCTTGCAGATAGATCAGTTAGATTGCCTGTTGGTATGTTGGAAGATCTACCTGTTAAGATTGGTGGTTTTGAGGTTCCAACAGATTTTGTTGTGCTGGAAATGGATGAGGAACCAGTAGATCCTCTTATCTTGGGCAGGCCATTCTTAGCCACTGCAGGAGCTATTATTGATGTGAGAGGTGGGATAATAGAGCTTCAACTTGGGTCTGAAAAGCTCAAGTTTGATGTGAATGAGATGATGAAGAAACCCACCATTGAAGGTCAATGCTTCTATGTGGAGACAATGGATCAGTTGGCTGATGAATTGCTTGAGGAGCTGAACACTGAGGATCCTCTTCAAGCTGCTCTAACTCAAGAACAAGGAGACAATGGGCTCTTAGCTGAAGCAAGTGAAGGGTATAAGCTGTATTTGGACAATGCAAGAGAGCTGGGTCCTGAGACAAGGTTTTTGGAGCTGGAACAAAGTGGTTCTGAGGTTTTTGCAATCAAAGGATCAGACACCAGCCAAAGCAGCTTGGACCAGGACTGGAATGAGGCTGATGCACCCCCTGTTGAGCTCAAGCCTCTACCAACAGGGCTCAGGTATGCTTTCTTGGGCTTAAACTCCACATATCCTGTCATCATCAATGATAGCCTATTAGAGGATCAAGAGAGTGCATTGCTTAATGAAATAAGAAAGTTCAGGAGAGCCATAGGGTATTCTTTGGCTGATATTAGAGGGATCTCTCCTGACATTTGCACCCACAGGATCCACCTAGAGGACCAATCTGTGTCCTCTATTGAGCATCAACGACGACTTAACCCCAACCTTAGGGAAGTGGTTAAGAAGGAGATACTAAAACTTCTTGAGGCAGGGATAATTTACCCATTCTCTGACTCAAGATGGGTGTCTCCTGTTCATGTTGTGCCCAAGAAGGGTGGGATCACAGTGGTGAAAAACGATAAGGATGAACTCATAGCTCAAAGAACCATAACCGGCCATCGCATGTGCATTGACTATAGGAAATTGAATTCTGCTTCTAGAAAAGATCATTTCCCTTTACCATTCATTGATCAAATGCTTGAAAGGTTAGCTAATCATCCTTATTTTTGTTTTCTCGATGGGTACTCGGGGTTCTTCCAAATTCCCATAGATCCCCGGGATCAAGAGAAAACAACATTCACATGCCCTTATGGCACATTTGCTTATAGGAGAATGCCTTTCGGTTTATGTAATGCACCGGCCACTTTTCAAAGATGTATGATGCACATTTTCTCTGACATTATTGAAGAGAAAGTTGAGGTGTTCATGGATGACTTTAGTGTCTATGGCTCCTCCTTCTCGGATTGTCTCTCTAATTTGTCACAGGTCTTGGAGAGATGTGAGCAGCACAACTTGGTGTTGAACTGGGAGAAGTGCCACTTCATGGTGCAGGAAGGAATAGTTCTTGGGCACAAGATATCTGAGAAGGGTATTGAGGTGGATAGAGCAAAGGTAGAAGTAATGGTGAACCTGCAAACCCCCACTTCAGTCAAAGGGATAAGGAGTTTCCTTGGGCATGCAGGGTTTTACAGAAGATTCATCAAAGACTTCTCAAGAATTGTCAGGCCCTTGACAAGACTGTTGTGTAAGGAAGTGGATTTCATCATTGATGCTGAATGTGAGGAGGCCTTCAAGTTGATCAAGGAGGCATTGGTTAGTGCACCAATAGTTCAGGCACCAGACTGGTCCCTTCCTTTTGAGGTCATGACAGATGCATCTGATTTTGCTGTTGGAGCAGTGCTTGGGCAAAAGAAAGACAAGAAGCTACATGTCATCTACTATGCGAGTAGAACACTTGACTCTGCACAAGAGAAGTATGCTACTACTGAGAAGGAGATGCTGGCAATAGTCTTAGCCTTTGATAAGTTCAGAAGCTACCTGGTGGGATCAAAAGTCATTGTATATACTGATCATGCCGCCCTCAGGTATTTGATGACCAAGAAAGATGCCAAGCCAAGGCTGTTAAGATGGGTTTTATTTCTCCAAGAGTTTGATATGGAAGTGCTTGATAAGAAGGGGATTGAGAATGGGGCTGCAGACCATCTCTCAAGGCTGAGGATTGAAGAAAAAGTCCCAATGGATGATGCTTTGCCTGAAGAGTCTCTGATGGTGCTCCATTCCTACTTGGAGTTTGAGGAAGTAGAGAGCATTCAAGAAAGGAGGATGCCTTGGTTTGCAAACATAGTGAATTATCTTGCATGTGGGGTGGAGCCTCCTGAATTAGATGCTTACAAGAGGAAAAAGTTCTTCAGAGATGTCCAGAGATACCATTGGGATGAGCCCTACCTCTATGTCCTGAACAAAGATCAGCTGTATAGAAGGTGTCTTGCTGAAGAGGAGATGCAATCTGTGTTGCAAGAATGTCATGGTTCTGCGTTTGGAGGTCACATGGGGGCATTCAAGACTGTGGCAAAGGTTCTTCAGAGTGGGTTTTGGTGGCCTACAATGTTCAAAGATGCTCAGTTGGTGGTTTCAGCATGTGATGCTTGTCAGAGGCATGTGAACATATCAAAGAGGAGTGAGATGCCTCAAAACCCCATTCTAGAAGTTGAGATCCTTGATTGCTGGGGGATTGACTTTATGGGGCCCTTCACTTCATCCTATGGGAATCAGTATATACTTGTTGCTGTGGACTATGTGTCCAAATGGGTTGAGGCCATTGCTTCCCCTACCAATGATTCCAAGGTTGTAGTGAAGCTGTTCAAGAGCATTATCTTCCCAAGTTTTGGAGTTCCAAGGGTTGTCATCTCTGATGGAGGATCTCATTTTGTGAACAAGACCTTGGAGGGTTTGCTGAGAAAGCATGGAGTGAAACACAAGATAGCTACTCCATATCATCCCCAAACTAGTGGCCAGGTTGAAGTATCCAATAGACAGATCAAAGCCATTCTTGAGAGGACTGTTAGCTCAAGCAGAAAAGATTGGAGCAAAAGGCTAGATGATGCATTGTGGGCTTATAGGACTGCCTTTAAAACTGCAATTGGGACATCACCATTCAGTCTGCTATATTGGAAGAGCTGCCACCTTTCTGTTGAGCTGGAATACAAGGCTATGTGGGCTGTGAAGTTGCTGAACTTTGATATCAAGACAGCTCAAGAGAAAAGGATCATGCAACTCCATGAACTTGAGGAGATTATGCTTGAGGCTTTTGAAAGCTCAAAGATCTATAAGGAGAAGACCAAGGTTCTGCATGATCAAAAGATTCTGAAAAGGGAGTTCAAGTATGGTGATTTGGTGTTGCTGTTCAACTCTAGACTTAAGTTGTTTCCAGGAAAACTTAAGTCTAGATGGTCTGGTCCCTTTAAGGTTCTTGAAGTGAGGCCATATGGAGCCATTTTCTTAGAAGGGAAGAATGGTCAAGAATTTGTGGTGAATTGATATATTCATAAATTGCATCATTTAATGTACATATTCTAGTCCAAATTATGTCTCATTTGCATACATTTTAGGTCTTTAGGCATTGTTTTAGGACTTAGGAGATTGCATTAGGTCCAAGAGAGTTTGCATGGTTTGGAGTGTTAAACAGGTGCTTTTGGAGCTTATTTGGAGTGGAGGATGTGATTCAGATGAAGAACTGGAGTTGAAATGATCAAAAATGGTGAAAAAGAGCAATTTTGGGTTTCTAGGCAAAATGATGTACTGATGGCCGAAGATTCTCGGCCAAAATCCTTCCCGCGGGTAGCTTTCTCGGCCAAAAACACGTACCGCGGTCAAGTCTCTTGGCCAAAAATCCCGGGTGCAGATACATTTCAGAAATCGCGTCACCGAAAGCTCTTGCCGGCCGATTCAGCTTACAGAGTCTTCCGAAACGTTGGAGATAATTGAGTCAAGAACCCAGGACAGGTTGAATCAGGGCATTTGGAGCACTGAGGTGAAAGATACAGTCACCGAAAGACAGACCTCTCTCGCATCCATTCCGGAGCAATCCGATACTCCTGAGTGATCGCCTGTCCAGGGAACCTTCCGGTCCGATTCAGTCGTCGGGGGCTTCATCAAAGTTTTAGTAGATTAGATCACGGTTCCAGAACAAGTGGAATCATGGAATTCAGACGCGTGAGCATAACGTTAAGCTCGTCGGAAGAAACTCCTGTCTCGCTGCCGTTTTGGACCAAGCCGATGAGCTCCGAAGAATGCGAAGAACGGTGTACTTCCAGACTGACTCGGTTTCCGAGCCCTTCATGAGAATCAGAGATATTTGAGTCCTCTTTCCAGAACGTCCAATATTATTCAATTCGGAGCTATGATCAGGAAGATATGGTCTCCGGAATGGACACATGTCTAGACGCCTCTCTCTGATCGTGTAAATGCACTGCGAAGATGAGCCCTCCAGGAAGCCTTCTACTTCCCAAGAACCAAAGCTTCCTTCACCAAAGTTGAAGGTATATGAGTCCTCCGTCTTTTGAAACCGGAAGCACACAATTCGGACAAGTATCTTAGAAGTTACACTCTCCGGAATGCGAAGTGGTCCAGACAGCCCTGAATGATGCGAGCTAAGTGAAACATGACACGGTTTGAATGCCACGGTCTGGGACTTGACCGTGGCAACTTTTACACACTTTCGGCGATTGACACGATCTTCATGCCACGGTCTACACTTGACCGTGGCAAACAAACACTTGGCTGGGAGGAACTTTACAAGCATTCGGGTTTTGACACGGTTTGAATGCCACGGTATAGGACTTGACCATGGCAACTTTTACACACCTTCGGCTTTTGACACGACCACTTGCCACGGGGCTTGACCAAGAGCTACTAGACCGTGGCAATCCAAGAATTTCATCACCCAAACCCAGAAAAGAAGAGACACGGCCACTAGACATGGTGTAAATCAAGCCATGGCAACCTTGATCATGAAGAATCTGTCCAAGAACTTTGACACTATCAGTTTGCCACGGTCAGTTTGCCACGGTCTGTCCAAGCATCATCTGACCGTGGCAAACCACACCACTATCCATCAAAGCCGGGTCAGGACCCAGTTTGTCCTGGGCTGACCCGGTCCGCAAGAGACACTATATATGCTTTTTAGGGTTTTTTCCAAGACTAAAGCTTTGTTTTTCTCTTGTTTCTCTTTCCTTTTTAGTGTAAAAACGAGTTTGTTAAGAGATATCTCAAGGATTTAATCAATCTAAGTCTGTTTCTTATCATCTCATCATCTCATTTCTGCTTCTAATCATGATTAACATCATCTCTTGCAAAAGATTAGATGTGTTCTTCATGATTAGTGAGTAGTCATCTTTTAAACTTCTAGGTGTGTAGATTACGGTGCTTAGATGTTTGATTTTTGATGTTTAGGGTCTAGATTCTCATTTCATTTCCTTAGTTAGCTGCTCTTAATGCTAGATCTCTCATTATAAGCTTGATCTAGAACTTAGGCATTTCTCCACCCACAAGGTGTTTGATGAAATGCCTGAATGAGCTAACTTAAGGGTTTATGCCTTTTTCATCATGGGAATGATTTGTTAAATGCATGAATGACATATTAGAACTGTTTCTTAATGCTCATTGATTCATATTTCACAAATGATGATTTGGTTTGAAAGTGGATTAGTGTAGAGATTAATGCCTTCATGAGAGGATTAGTCTAGATTAGAGTTCTAAGTTGAAATGTTTGAGATCATGTGATTGCTTGTTATGTCTTTCTGTATAAGATTCAGTCTTCTTGGTTGAGAGATTGTTTGGTCACTTATTAGGCTTGATGCATTATGCTTGCTGATTGCTTGATTATATCTAATGGTTGTTAGACTTGATTAAGTGATTTGCAAAGGGATTATTGTCATGGGAATGAATTAATCTGAATTGGAAGTCTAGACTAAAGATTTGCAAGTGTTGCATTGTTTGCTTAGCATCATGAATTCACATTTAAAGCACCCTGATCAATGATCACATCTAGAGGTTTAGCTTTCTCTTTATTTGAATTTGAGTGTTTGGTTAGTTTCTCTTGCTTGTTTAATTCTTAATTACTGTTTGTTCTTGCTTGTTTTGTTATATGCTTTAAGATAATCTTGGTTACCAACTCATCTGCTTATTAGACTTGGATTAAGATAGCTCCTCATAGTTCTAGTGTCTAGAATCTCTCCATTTGGATTGATACCTCAAGTGCTACAATGACATGAGTAGTTGAGGAATTGATCAAGAATTGAAAAATTCCTACTATCATGAATGGACAGAGAATCAAGCATTACTTAGTTTCACAGAAGAAGGAGGAGGCTACATCAGTTCCCCTTCTTGATCCACCACCAGCCTGTTAAACAGGTTTCCAAAGTCAAACTTAGAGACTTTAAACAAAGTGCTCTTGGGAGACACCCCAAGCTTATCTTTGTACATAGTTCTTTTGATTTCTTCTCTTTTCTTTTATATTTTAGAACTTTTTGATGGGTTTTGTGAGTTGGTCTCAGGTTCTAGGTGATTTTTGGAGGACATAGCTCAGTGATGAAAGGAATGGAGTATGTGAGAGGGCTGAGGGAAGTGTTTAAGGACTGAAAAACTTGGAGAACGCCTCAGTGCTACCTAGGTGTGCGGTTTGGATCAAGGAGAGCCCAGGCTGCAGCAGGACT